CCAGTAAGGAGAGGTGCACCACGTAAGGAGTCTCCACGTTCTTCTTCCTCAGTCTGTGAATGAGAGGAACTTTTCAGAGAGGAAACTGTATGAAATCAAACTGTTTCACTGTTTAAACTTAAATCACGGGAAAATGGAAAACAGATTTTTTACCTCATCTTGTATTTTATTTAGCACAGTGCAGACTCAATATATTTCATGTTTTGTTTTTAAATTCCTGTTTCAATCAACAAAACCATCAAACAGACATTTGGTTATGTTGGTATGACTCAGTGTCTGACTTGAATCTGCAGAATGTAAACCTGAGTATAAAATATAATTTAAAAATCCAACTCATATAATTAGCTTGGCTAATGCAAATTGAAGTCTGTAGTCTGCAGATGTAAAGAAAGCAACTGTTGCATTTTTCAGTCGAAAACCTGATGTACATTTCTTCTTTCATAATAAAGTTTTGCATATATTTCATGATCTGTGTGGGGCATGTGTCACGAAGACTCTGCTGCAACCAAACAAAGTTTTTGCTCAGTATTTATAAAACTGACAGAGTTATGGCTACTTTTTTATTTACTAAAAGGTCAAAAGAGGCCTGGCTTTGTCCGTCTTGAGTTTGGTTTATGTTAAAGGTTAATCAGTTTATCTGATTACTTTTCTGTGCACCCACCTTATGTCAAACAACTGTAGTGAAACCACAAAAGGAATATATGCTGAGATAACTCTATTTTGAAAAGGGGTTGAGCTCAGCTTTAAACGCAGCCAAGTTCTGCTCCACATCTCATTCCTGAAAAACATTCATGATTAGTTGTAACATTAAGACTTTATTTGATAAACATAGATTTTAGCTGTAAAATAAAGACTGTAAAAACACTGTATAGGCTGTTTAGTTGTGTAAATTTTTATATTTTAACACGGACAGAGCCATTTTATTTACACATAAAGCATTCTGGGTAAATGATGACGTGGACGGGTCCTCGGTGTGAGCGAGCTATATCCACCCTGAAGGTTAATCGTGGACAATATCTGATGATCGACTCTTTTAAATTAAACCAGAGAGCGTTGACAGAGAGGAGAAGGTAGAAATGACTCAGCCTGGAACTGAAAATATAGATGAAGGACAACAGAGCTGCTTCATGGAAGAAGAACCTCAGCTTAGCCTGTTAGCTTTAGCACTGATGCTATGTTTCCTTATATGTATTAGCTCGAGGTCCTCCATCCATATTTTCAGTTGCAGGCTGAGTCATTTTTGCGTTCCCCTCTCTCTCTGTCATGTGTCAAGGACCTCAGTGATGAGAGGAGAATGTGTAGCACTGAGCTAATACATATACAGTTTATGGTGATAGCATCTGGGCTAATGCTAAAACTAACAGGCTGCTGAGGTTTTTCTTCCATGAAGCAGCTCTGTTKTCCTCCATCCATATTTTCAGTTACAGGCTGAGTCATTTCTACCTTCTCCTCTCTGTCAACGCTCTCTGGTTTCATTTAAAAGAGT